ACACACACACACACACACACACACACACACACACACACACACACTAAAAAGTATATTCCATTCTGATACACATAAGTCACATAACTCTTGTCTAGCCAGTCTATTTGCAAGTGTTAACATTGTTAACATTTCCACTTTCTGTAGTGGTGTAGGGAGGAGATTATATTATACTGTTAAAGCTACTTCAGTCTCACTTATAAAAATGGCTGTATCTGTGTAAAGAACATTCAAGGAATGTGTTCTTTTAAACATGATTTTGTTGGGATTCTGTCTTTGCAAAATCTATTATCTTGTAACTTGGATATATTCCAGTTGGAAAGGGCTATATGAGGTATGGAAATATTGTGTCTGTATTGTTTATACAATACAATACATCCATTGAAGAAAGAAAGAAAGAAAAAGTTCGTACTATGGACAATATTTCTGCAGCAAACCAGTGTTTTGTATATGTGTGTGATTGTAGAATTGTTCTTTGTGTTAAAAATTTGTAGGCAAGTTTCTAAATATGGAACTCTAAGGAAAACTTCATTTAATGAACTGATATCAGGAATGGGTTTTGTTGTTGTTGATCATCCATGAAACAATAGTATACCATCCATATTGAAATCATTATTTAAATCATATCATTTGCATCTTTATATTTTTACCTATGGAAGCAGAATGATTAAAGTTTGATTTATCTTGTAGTATATGGATTTGGCAACATCCCTATAAGCTGTCTTAAATCCCTAAATAATAGCATTAAGTGCTAAAATACTAGCTTTATTATTGAAATATTATTTCAAATCTGTAATGTCAGCAGTTGAAGAATATTGTAATGTAGTGGATGATACACTTGACTGATATCGCATAATATCTTTAACAGCTCCCCATAATTACTTTTGGTTTTGAGGTGCATTTATACATCAAAATGTATTTTTATTAGGCAAAAGAAAACATTGACAGAAGAATCTGGTCCTGTGTTGGAGAAATAATAGAATTATTAATTGGAAAATTAGCAGACTAATTATAAATTAGCAGACTAAATTCTACCCAAACAGAGTGGCTTTTGATTTGGAAGCTGATTGAGTCCAGAGATAGGGTTTTTGTTTTACTCTGGATGAGATATATCACCAAATGACCTACAACTTGGAGTCCTCCTAGACTCAAGAGTCCTGGTTGAAATAGCAGGTAGAAGCTGTAGCCATAATTGCCTTTGCACAATTATATATTGAATGCCATATACGGTATGTCCTTTCTAGATCAGGAAGCTTTACTTTCACTCACTCATTCATAACCTTGTCACCTTTAGGTAGATCACTATAATGCACTGTTACAAATAAATATTACTGCTTCATAGTCTTGCTTTCTTGAATGTGTAAAAATGTATATCACTGATAGACCTCAAATGTATTTGCTTACAGGAAGTTACAGCAAGTAGTCGCCATTATGTTGACAGATTATTTGATCCTGATCCTCACAAAGTACTTCAGGGTGTCATGTAAGTAGTATAAAAATTTTTGCTATTGTATCTTTAAATTCTTAGCTTTGGTTGAATCATTTTCATTACTTGCTTTTTATACTTCAACAACAGCTTTGTTTTTGAGCAATAGCAATAGCAGTAGACTTATATACCGCTTCATAGGGCTTTCAGCCCTCTCTAAGCGGTTTACAGAGAGTCAGCATATTGCCCCCAACAATCTGGGTCCTCATTTTACCCACCTCGGAAGGATGGAAGGCTGAGTCAACCCTGAGCCGGTGAGATTTGAACCGCTGAACTGCTGATCTAGCAGTAGCCTGCAGTGCTGCATTTAACCACTGCGCCACCTTGGCTCTATGATGAGGCATTACTAATGAAATATGCTCAGTTATTATTCTTCGTTAACGTATTAACATAGTATAAATCTTTCTTTCCCTGCCTGGCAGTTTCAGTATTTTTGGTTTGATTTCTAAATCATGACTAAATCTTGTCCGCCATTGTATAAATCTGATAGTAATGTATTTTTCCTGCCTGCACAGTATTCACCTTTGCATCTGATGAAAATTCCCCAGTGTTTTGAAAGATACAAATTAAGATACTTTTGCTAGTTATTACAAATTTAAACTAAAAGTAATATATATCTTAAATTGAATCATGAATATATAATTATGCATATATGTATCTTAACAATTGAAACATGAGCATCTGATATATAAATTATTAGAATTCAGATGTATTAAAACCATAATTCAACCTGATTACAACAAAACTCATCTGTGGTTATAAGAATATTGTTGGAAGTTTCTGTTTAACCACAGTACATTATGTGTAGATTCTAATATCATGATAATCATAACAGTGGTTACATAAAACAAATGAATTTCAGAAAGTATGCTTGATTTTGGTTCAAGCAGTTCCAGTATGTCCCATCTGACCTCAGCCAAATTCATTTAATCTAATATGTGTTTCTGAATTGGTCTGTATCATTGTTTTGATAAGGTGAACAAGGAGTAATTCTGAATAGGGCAAATAAAGACAGCAAGGATAAAAAAACCATGTTCTGGTGTGCTTTTGTATTTTTGTATTGTCCGCGAGAGAGAAAACAATTGGAATATACAGATTGGGATTAATTAATTTACTTAAGTGGTAGTTAAAAATACAATTAAAAGAGAATTTTTACTTTGGCCCTGTTTTGTGGTTAATATAGATTTCTACGTAAATATATGTAAACATTTATTGGCTATATGAGGAGGATTGGTTTCTCCTGCAGTTGATAACTTTAACATAGTAAAGTAGCTGGACAATTCATAGGGTATTTTGTTCGTATTTAACACATTTTCTGTCAGTTTTCTTTTAAAGAGGAAAATATGCTGGTTCTCTTTTTGGATAAAAATGAATATAATTTTTTCTGGAAATCAGATATTGAGTTGATGTTCTAGTATTGAATAACAATTCCATTAGTTATTCCAAAAGAATTATTGGCTTCTTGTATGTGAAATAGCAACAAGAAATCCCTTACTATACCAATGAGTTCCATATACTTCGACAATAATTGTCTACTACAAACCCATGTTGAAAACCCTATGAATTTCTAACTGAACCATATGATTTATGTTCTAATTCCCAAACATGTATTTCGACAGTAAGAAGATTGTAACCTGCCCTGATTTTGTGTTTTACGGTCTTTATGCATGGATATTGGTATGAATATATGGTGTTGTGACCTATGATATTATTAGAATTTCTCATGAGGATATTACTTTGGAATTCCTATCTCCCAAAGAGAATTCTGGGGAAAAGAATCGCAGTAATACAAAAGAAGAAGAGATTTTAGTTCTGAACAAATAATTACTTCAAAGAAGATGACCTATGAGTTTCGTTTCATAATACTTTTGGCATAGTTGAATTGCAAAAGAACCAGCTATTTCATTTATATTGTTGCTATGTCTAGTGTTTTAGGGTACAAAAAATGAAGCCATTTTTCTAAGGTAAAGGGAATCATTTTAAAAAAAAATCCTTTTCTAAGAAACTGTTGGAGTTAGCATTGGGCTAGCTGTAGTCACATTTAAGATTACTTTCAACATTCACAACTGGCACTGATATATTTGCAATAGATCTCTAATGTTTTGAGTTTATCAGGTATGAATATTCTATGACAGTTCGAAATTCATTTCAGAAATTGAATATATACACATGTAGAGTGGGCAACGGCACTATATTTTCTAAACTTGGAAAATATTTTGTTTGAGAGACTGATTATGCCTGATTTATTTAAAAAAATAATAATCAAATGAGTTATACATAGGTGAGGAGAACTAACATGAGGAACAGTTAATAATGGAATTGTATTGGGAATGATATTTTAGCTTTATCCCAACATTCTTTCAATAAGTTAAAGGCAGTATATGTGGCTCAAAACAAAAACTATTGAAGGTAAAAGATAAGTGTTTCCCAACTGCCCCAAATCTATGGGGCAGTGCTCATCTTCATTTCTTAGCTGAGGGAGCCAGCATTGTCTGAAGACATTTCCGTGGTCATGTGGCCAACATAACTATGTTGAGGTGCATGGAACACTGTTATTTTCCCACCAAAGTGGTACCTATTTATTCGCTTTTCCGTGCTTTCGAATTACTAGGTTGCCAGGAGCTGGTTATCCTTATTAATTCAACGTCACCCAATGAGTTTTGTGGCTATGTGGGGATTTGAATTATAAATCTCAGAATCTGGGCCACTAGTAAGATTACCTGAATGTGCTTATACTGTAGGTTTGAGATGAAATTACTGTCAACTATTGTTACCCTCCCCATCAGTGGTGGGTTTCAAAAATTTTTCGAACCTACTCTGTGGGTGTGGCCTCCTTGTGGGAGTGGCTTGCTGGCCATGTGACCTGGTGGGAGTGGCTTGCTGGCCATGTGTTTTCTCCCCCCCCTCCTTTTTGTCTCTCTCTCCTTTTTTCATCTCTCACTTTTTCTTTCTTTTTTTCTTTTTTTCTTTCTTCCTTTCTTTCTCTTTATTTTTCTCTCTCTGTGTGAGTCTGTCTCTCTCTCTCTCTCTCTCTCTCTGTGTGTGTGTGTGTGGTGGGTTTCAAAATTTTTTGGAACCTCTTCTGTAGGTGTGGCCTGCTTTCCGGGTCCACTGGTGGAACCTCTTCTAACTGGTTCAGTAGATTTGACAAACCGGTTCTACCGAACTGGTGCGAACTGGCAGGAACCCACCTCTGCTCCCCATCTCAGAAACACCAACAATAGCGAAATCTCCTGCACCTATCTTCATCCCTCTGAACGCCCAACCACTGGTGATCCTAGAAAAAAATGTATAAGATGTATTTTATAGACCAGGGATCCCCAATGCCCAGGCCATGGTCCACTACTGGTCCATAGCTCATGGGGAGCTGTGTTGCGCAAGCGGTGGGCAAACTTGCAAAGAATTATTTGTGTAGGATTAGATTGTGTGCATGCAACCATCCTCTACTCCCCTGCTGCTGCCACAGTCACAAACCCAAAAAGGTTGGGGACCATTGTTATAAACAAAAGATTGGAAAAGCACTAGGCCCAGATGGAGTAACTACTTTTTGTTTAAAAGTCTGTGCTGATTAACTGGCTCCAATCTTTATTTGCATCTTTAGTAAATCACTGGAGATGTGTTATATTCCTTCTTGCTTCGAATGCTCTACAATCATCCTGGTTCCCAAGAAGCCCTCCATCTTGGGATGACTACAGTCCAGATGCTTTGATATCTGTAGTTTTGAAAACCTTTGAAAGGTTAGTGCTGGCCCACCTAAAAATCATGGCAGATCCACTGTTAGACCTCTTGAAGTTTGGCTATTGTGCAAATAGATTGGCAGATGATGCTGTCAATATGGCACAGCACTACATTTTGCAACATCTTATATCCCCAGAGACTTATACACAGGTCCTCTTTGTAGACTTTAGCTCGGCATTCATTACTTTCATTCCAGAAATTCTTCACTCTAAACTGATTCAGCTAGCTGTCCCTGTCCATATGTATAGATGGATTATAAGCTTTCGGACAGATAGAAAGCAACAGGTGAAGCTAGGGAAAATCACATTGAATACCCAAACAATTAGCACAGGTTCCCTCAGGGCTGGGTGCTCTCTTCATTACTCTCTTCTCTCTATACAAATGATTGTATCTCAAAGGATCCCTCATTTAAAGTACTGACCTTTGCAGATGGTACCACAGTCATTGGTTTCATTTGAGATGGTGATGAGTCTGCATATCAACAGGAGACTGAACAACTAGCCTGTGGTAAAGCCAGAACAATCTGGAGCTGAACACACTTAAAACTGTAATGATATTAGTGGAATTTAGGAGGAACGCTCCTACTCTACTACCTCTTACTATATTAGATAACATAGTATCAAGAGTAAAGTTTTCAAGTTTTGGGTTGTATAATCTCCCAGGATTTTGAAATGGAAACTTAACATTAGAACTATCATTAAAAAGGCACAATAAAGAATATTTCCCCGTGTCAACTCAAAGTTCAGACTGCCCCAGAAGCTGTTAATAATACAGATTAATTATTGAGTCTGTCATTTGTACTTCTACATAACTAACTGATTTGGTACAGCAACCAAACAGGACAAGTACAGACTTTAGTGGATAGTTAGAAATGCAGAAAAAAACAATTGCAACCAGCATGGAAGGCATTCCATTGAGGACCTCTATACTGCATAGGTCAGGAGGTCTGAGGAAATATCTACAGATCCCCTCACATTCTGGACATAAACTGTTTCAACTCCTCAGGAAGCTGCTACAGGGCATTGCATGCCAAACCAATTAGACACAGAGACAGTTTTTCCCTCATGCCATCATTCTGATGAACACCTAATTCCCACCATAATGTCATATTCATTCATTCCCCCCCCCCTCTCTCTCTCTCACACACACACACACCACACCATCCATGTAGTATTTTCTACTATCTTCTGTTATTGGCATCCTTATTGTGATTATTATTACTCTGTTGTTTTGCATGTATACTGAGAGCTCCTGCACTGGAGACNTTCATGACTCTTTTCATACTTTGCCTAAATAGTTCTGCACACTGCTTAGGTATTATATATAATGCCTAGGGAAAGTATATAACATTAAAATAATACAGACATTACATACTTTGCCTAAAACTGACACACATTTAATAGGTTTCTTAGACTTTCTATACAGTGCCAGTTTGTCACATATTGCTGGTATTATACACAAAACATGGAAATGTTTTCTTCTTTAAAAAAAGAAGTCAATTTGCTATTATGTACTACTAATAATATTTACTTATTTTAACATTTTCACCTTCAAGAAGAAGATACCAAAAGGAAAAATACCTGTTTCCTTTTATTTACCAACAAGGTATTTATGTACTAAGCTTGGAAGACCTATTTTTAAACCAATAGGTATCTGGTGCAAATAACTTTCTGAAAATAGAGAAGCCTAAGCGAAGAAACCATTCCAACTACTGATCTAAAGCAGAGATTAACAAATAAGAAGAAAAAAGAAAGCACATTCAAACCTGGGCTTGCTGGAATGACTTCAACCTCTTCTTGAACCGGGATGGAAGAACAAAATCACAGCCTTTTGCAAGGAAAGCTAACTCTCCTCGTAAATCAGGGTCCCTTCGCAGAGATCTATCCTTGATCATCATTTTAGTTAATTCCTCAGAAAATTGCTCCTCCCAGAAAAGATGCAAAGTCCTTTTGAGGTAACACTTCAACTACTTTCTTGACTTGTTCGTGTGAGAGGGGACAGGGGTTCAAGAAATTCTAAGTGAAACATACCTTTCTTTTTATTCTCAGAAAAATGGCCTATATCTCACCTCAAGGCCAGTGGACTCTCTCTTTTTTGATATTCAAAGAATCCCTGAGCACAAAGATCTCTGATGTCTTTTACTAATTATTTATCAAGAAGTATAATCTACACTGCTGGCTACATGACAGTGAGGTAATCTGTCCTTGGCTGGTAACAGAGCAGAGGTATTGTGGGAAGGGAGGCATCTACCACACTACTAGCAGCGGTGCTAAAGTTAGACTTATTGCAGAGGTTGCTAAATATATCACCTTTCAAGATACGTATTTTATTATGTTCCATGGTGAAATTTTATGTGCAAATTTAGCTATCAATCTCAACTGAAATCAAAACCATAATCTATAGATGTCACCATAGGAGCCCAGATATTTCTGATTAGAATATAATATTAAAAAGGTTGAAGTCTCTTTTATTTTTTATTTTTCATGTGATAAAAAAATACAACTTCTTTCCGTCCAAAAGAGATATAATTATTATATGGTAACTATCATGCTGTTAAATATTTTCCTTACATGTTTGGAGATAAGACAACAACACTTTAAAGTAGACCTCTTTCCTTTAAAAAGTGTGTTTTTAAAATTAGATTAAGAATGGAGCTACCAAAATTGGTACAGTACTTGAAACCCAGAGAATGTATTTAATTTTATATAGGAACAAAAAAGACCTGATTGTGCAAATTGTCATCCTTGATATCCTAAATACAAATGAAATCTTGATTTAACAGACCTATTGGAGGGAAAGAAAAACATATTTGGGCCTTTGGGGGAAAGTGTTAAAACTGATTTCAGTTCTCATGAAAACCAGCATCTTGGAACAATTATCATTTAAAAATGGAAGGAATCCTTCTTTTTTTAAAACTTGGATTGAAAATGGGATAATTAATAATTATTTCAACCAACCATTAAGTAAAAATGGAAAATGAATATAAGCACTATTATTTTTAAAGTGTCATTCAAATCACTAATAGCAGGTTTACCTGTGCTTTTAAATTTATTTAAATTTATTGGCCTTTCAACTCCAATGAATTTTGGGTGGTTTTCATACACAAGCTATTTTTGTATTGTGCACAAAAAAGTTTGGACTCATGTCCAAGCTATAAATCTACTATGAAGTGTGAAAAATTCAATGACATATAAATAACTTTCTATGTTATAGTATTTCCACAGAGCAGTATTTTTATATGAATGGGCTCAACTGTTAAGTGAAAAAAGAAATTACACAATCTTACCTTGATAACCTCTGGCATCTGCTGAATTAATGGTGAGGCAGGTTTTTTCTTCACTGTATCTGTGTAGATCTGCTTTTCAACTGTGATGGAAGGCGTGGCTAAAGTTTCCTGAAGAATATGCATCACTTCTTTCTCTTTTGATAAGCTTCCTTTGCCCAATTGGAATTCTACTAATTCTTGGGCAAAGTCTTCAATACTCTCCAAAATACGCAGTAAAAGAGTTTTGTCATCTTCATCCATTTTATGACCATTGATTTCTACAAGTTTTGATAAGGATGAAGGCACACTTTTGTCCTCAGGAAAACAATCTTTGCCTTTGTCCTCACTGGTTAAACTACTATTTTTCAAAAATCTAGAATCACTTTGCTCCACAGTAGTTTCTCTCAGTGTAATTTCCATTTTTTGTGAAAAATTCTCCAAATCCAACAAAAGTTTATCTATCTCTTCTTGATTGTTTTTTCTAAGCTCTTCTTTAGAGATCTGAACATTATAGTTAAAGGTTTGATCAATGGAATCTGCTGAAATAGAAAGGTCATCCTTTGATAGAGGCTGTGTATGTGAAGTTTTAGGAAGTTCTAAAGGAGGATTTAGCCACTCCTGGCTGCTCTTTGAATCTCCCCTTATTGTTCTACTCTGAACACTTGATGCACTTTCTCTTACTTTTTTCCCATCTGATTCTTCTACAATATATAGAGATTCTGTGGGAAAAACACAGTCTGATGGATTTAGAAATTGTAACTGAGGTAGTACATGAGAATCATTTCTAGAATCTATATTGTTCTGCAATGTATTTGAAGAAATATCTATACTGGGGGTTTCGATAAGATTGGTTGAGGAGTTTGTATCATTATTATCCTGAATTATTTTTAAGTTAGAGGGAAATGCCTGCTTTGCCACAGATGATGTAGAAGTTACAATATCTTCATATCTTGGTGGTTGCTCATTGCTCATTGGGGAGAAATGAGATTGCTCCAAAGCAGACAAACCATTAATCAGTTCTATCATGTCAGCAGGATGTCTAAATTCAAAAGGCAATTGTTTAAGGTAAGAAGAAAATCTTGTCATTAAATTCATATAGATTATTTCAGAATTGGCCAAGGACTCACTATTATTTCCACTATTGACATTTCCTGATGCTTTATTCTTAATGCATTGCTTTATTATATCTGTACACTTCTTCAAGTCCTCTGAGCATTTTAACAAGATATCTAAGCACATCTTAATATCTCCACTGGAAGACCCATCCAGTTTGTGCTTTTCCAAAATTTGTGTTATAAAATTGTCATCAGGAAACGTTCCTATAGGCAAAGGAACTACAGAATTCCCACTTTCCTTAACTGAGGGGCTGCTGACATGCCATTTTTTTTCATGGGAACTATTATTTAGAACACCATTAGGAGGGGACAAAATTTCATCACTGCTGAAATGTCCACTAATCAAGTCAAGATCTAGTGATCTTCTACTGAATTGGTCTGACTTAACTTTTCTTCCTTTTCTATAGTTTGCCTGATTTGAAGAATTTCTCAGTTTTTCAAATGAGAATTCTTTTATTTTTCCACTAGCAAGGTTTATGGCTTCTCCAGTGATATCTTTCAGACTTCCACTGCTTTGAACACAAGATACTTTTTTGAGTTTTGGATTACTAGGAAGGAGCTGATGATAATCTTCATCCGCAGGCAAAACAATTGAATTTTCAGGCATCGAAAATCTGTGGGTCAAATCTGAATTTCTAATATTAGATGTAGAAACTTTAAGTAGTTCTGCAGAAACACTGTGGTGGGGCACTATGCACATAATTCCTTGTCTGAATACTTGACATGTCCCTGTGCAATAATGCACAACATTTTGAAGCTGGTTATCTATTACAGCACTGCTGTAACAATTCACTGTTGTTATTACTCTTTTATAGTTTGCTGCCATAATATGAATTTCAATTTGTTTGTACTCTGAAATGGCTTAAGAGAGCAATCACTTTACCCCCCTTTAAATCTCATATTCATACAGCAATAAGCACTGAGGTGGTTGTGTTAAAAATGTAAAAAAAATCAATGCATTGTCAAGAATCTGTATTAAAAGATTGCAGACAATAATCTATAAAAAATTAAAACGACCAGCATAATGTATAATTGTTTTAGATAATAGTAAATATTCCCAGACTAAAAATGTAGTTATAAATAATTGTTCTCTTTTCTCAATTGCAATGTTAGAAGTAAAAATGAAGAAGATTAATCCACTTGTTGATAAAATGAAGAAAAAACTTTCTTTTGAATGTTTTGTCCAAACTTCCTCTGAACTTCAGATTTCATGGAGAAAATAAAAGCATGAAATGTGGTCAAATGATCCACCTCCTTCATTGGTGTAGAAGACGTCTGCAATAACAAATGTTGTTAGAAAACAAATTTCAAGCCTAACTTTAAATACTGCTACTTACTTTAGATAAGCATTGCAGGAGAAGGAGTGGCAGAACCTGGGAACAGTGTCAAAACAGGAATCAACCTAGAATCTCTACCTAGGCACAAATAGAGCAAATCCATCCCTCTTGAATTCAGTTGACCCTTATCTAGTGCCAAGATAATGCTATCAATTTATATCATTAATGGGAGAAGATGTAGGCTGAAAATGGCCTCTGAGCTCTTCTGAGCAGAGAAGGCAGACTGCTCCGCTTACCTTATACCCAAAGGTATAGTCCCTTTCTGCCTAAAAAGCAACAAAAAAAGCTATCATTTCAGCTTCCTTCTGTACATAGAAACTATAACTGCCTTTTGTCTGCAAATGAAATAGAGAACAATTGTTCCCCAAGTTTCACTATAGAAAGATAAAAATAAGGGGTGAGGTTTTGGGGAGAAGGAAATATCTAATTTGAGGCACCAGAGACTTCTCATAGAACTTACAAATTTTTCTAAGCATATATAAGACAGCCAGAACAGGAAACAGCTGTCCTATAATTGCCCAGAATATCTGTAATTCTACAATTCTCTTCTCTCTAGAATCTCAGATTACACTTCTAAATCCTATACTGGATTTCATAATTTCATAGATTACGTTAGAATAAATCATTTAATTTAGCTTTTTAATCCACAGTATACTGAAAAAAGTATTGCCAGAAAATTTCAGTAGCAATTTCATCAAACTATCAGGCTGTTTTACAGATGGGAATACCAGTGATATTTCAAGTAACATCTCAGTTTGAAAACTGCACAAGATAATAACATTGTAGTAGCAGTAAATGCTTAAGATTATCAGTGAGGTATGTTTATCTGCTGATAATCTCTCACTCAGTGAAGAAGTGCACATGCAACACTTTCACTTTAAACCTGTTTTCACAAAAACCAGTATCATAAGGACTTATTGCTTAGAGCAGTCTTACTCAAAGTTGTTACCTTAAAGGATCCCTTGAAATAATTTTCGGATTTCAAGGAACCCATGAATAACAATCACAAAAATTTTACAACATAATTTACTTCTAATTTATAAATCCATATTTTATACAACAACAGCAAACTGACAGGCCAGTACCTGAACTGTAGCATGTAAAAATGAACACCACTGCAAACACAGGTATTGCATGGCCTGCAAATTTCAAAAACTATTTTAATAAAGATCTTTCTCAGAAACCTCCTGCAGAACCTTAAGCGTTTTGTGGAGCCCCAGTTGAGAAAGGCTGATAGAGTTTATAAGGAAATGTATACTGTATTATCATTTTAAATAAATGAGCCATCATAATATGTTATTGAATATATACTCTACTGATCGAAAAATCTTCAGTATCAGAATGACTTCTACTTTTTGTTTACTCTTACCATGCCTATTACTTACTAATTTAAGGTAAAGTTCATACTGTGTTTCCGTGAAAATAAGACAGGGTCTTATTTTCTTTTGACCCTCGAAATAAGTGCTTGGCCTTATTTTGGGGGAGGTCTTATTATTTTTGAGGTGCAGGAGGCAGCAGGCATGGTCACCTCATGGCTGCTGCTGTGTTGCAGTATTTTTGGGAGGGCTTTTTTTGGTGGAAGGCTTATTTTAGTGCATGTGCTCAAAAGCTCAGTTGGGCTTATTATCCAGTGAGGTCTTATTTTCAGGGAAACAGGGTACTTCTATTAATTTTATAAGATTCAAGCATTAAGATTATTTATTTGTTTTATTAATATTCCACCTTTATTGTTTTTACAAGTATTTTATAAAGCAAGTCAAGTTTTTCCTCCGATTTTCCGCACAACAACCCTGTGAGGTGAGGTGAGGTGAGAGTGACTGGCCTGAAGCTGGCTTTCGTGATAAGTCAAAACTTGAACTCATAGTCTTCTGATTTCTAGCCTGCCAATTAAACACATTATTCTTATAATACAACAATGTTAATCTTAAATTTTAATGTATAGATTTTATTCTAATTTATTCCCAAGAATCTGGATATGTGAACTTTTTTCTTTTACAGATAAAGAACTGAAAGTTAATAAATAGCTTGGCCAAGCATGTAAGTAGCTGTACAACTTGAACTTTCTCTCCAAGATCCAGATCTGATTTACTGTGCCACCAAAGTACGTGTTTACAGTATTCTAACGTACTTTTAGATTATCTTTATCCGATAGACTTCATGCATTTAGCCCTTTTTTATCTCATTTATCACTATTCATGCATTAGATGTATTCTTACCCATTCGAATAATGTTAAGTAGTAGTTGTACACATTTTTAGAAAAGCAACCTTAATGTCATCATGTTTATTTTGAAAGAAAAGCAGCCGATCAACAGCTGTTGCTGGTAAGGCAACTTGATTAAACACAAACAATAAATAGTAACATATCCTGTCTCTACAATGCCACCAGATACTGAAAAGCAGCAAAGGGAACACTGAGCTCTGCTGTTTGGGTACATCAAGCAAATTTGCAGCTGCTATTTCCTCCTTGTATTCATTTTCTGTAGAAGGATAGGACGACTGTGCTCACAGATGAATCATCTGCAATTTCATTCATTTTCCCTTTCTCCCTGAACCTCAGATCCCCACCATAGCCTCTAAAAAATGCTGTCATAGCTATGAAACCATTTTCAAGGTCCTGACACTTTCTTCTTTCTGTAAATGAAAGGACAACGTAGTTGACCTTCTGTTATGTTATGAAGGACTAGTTAATATGATCCTATAGCATCTCCTTCTGTTGTAAATCTTGCCTTAAAAGTCTTGACTTTAACTTTTCAGTAAGTTCTCTAGGCCAATGCTTCCTAAAGTCTAGCAAGGATCAGCAGATTGTTTCAACTCCAGTGTGATTCATTGGCCTAAAAATGAAGCTGAGATGATTAGAGATTTCCATCCAAAATGAAGGGAAATGATAGATAACAATAACAGCAAAAGCTAGCACAGATTCTCTATGGCTATGATCAAACATATCTAGTTATGAACTTCTTATTACTGAATTGGCTGGTTTATACTACATTATAAACCCTGAGTTACAAACAACACTAGCTGGGTTCTGACATCCTAAGCTAAAACAAGCCAAAGGGAACTTGGATAACCATTGGTGCCACACTTCCAAATTTCCTGGATAACAGATCCTTTGCCTGCAACGCTGCCCAAACAGAATTGTCAACTAAGGGAGATCAAAATGATTCCTTGTATTTTGTCTTTAAGTAACACCTGGATTCAGCAAAACTATCTAGAATAATTGTAGCAGAAGCAGCTGCTAATGTCTACATGACCATATATTATTATTTTCCGTGCATTTGATTGTCCTTGTCTCTGTGATCTCCCCCGCCCCACACACACACTCTTCTGTATTGTATCCTGCACAGTACCTATCACTTCTTGATGTCACTCAGGTTCCTTACACAAAGTACATAATAGCACCCAAGGCCTGGAAACCAAGTAAAGCCCTATTCCAGCAAAACAGTTGAACTGGTTCTGACAAGAGGATTTGAATCATTTACTGTATTCAAATCACAGGGACAGCCCAGTAGCAGCAATGTGGGCTTATGTTCTTTTCTTTTCTTTTCTTTTCTTTTTTGCCCCGGAGGTCGGCACTTCACTTTTGCCTACCTTTCTTAACAGGATTTGCCCATTTCGTAACTTTGGCGATTGCAGGGTTTACCTACACAACACTCTATTGAAATTGCGCCTGACGTCNAAAACAATTGCAACCAGCATGGAAGGCATTCCATTGAGGACCTCTATACTGCATAGGTCAGGAGGTCTGAGGAAATATCTACAGATCCCCTCACATTCTGGACATAAACTGTTTCAACTCCTCGGGAAGCTGCTACAGGGCATTGCATGCCAAACCAATTAGACACAGAGACAGTTTTTCCCTCATGCCATCATTCTGATGAACACCTAATTCCCACCATAATGTCATATTCATTCATTCCCCCCCCCCTCTCTCTCTCTCACACACACACACACCACACCATCCATGTAGTATTTTCTACTATCTTCTGTTATTGGCATCCTTATTGTGATTATTATTACTCTGTTGTTTTGCATGTATACTGAGAGCTCCTGCACTGGAGACACATTCCTTGTGTGTCTAGTAACATTTGGCCAAATTAAGTATTTTCTCTTCTTCTCTCCTCTCCTCTCCTCTCTTCTCTTCTCTTGCCATGCCAACCATTTTTGTAATTAGACATACTGTAGTATAATTACAAGAGCTAATTTCTGTTGCTCAGTATTACTTAGCACACCCACTCTTTATTGTATATTATTTTTATAATATCTGTTTTCATTTACAAACATGGTAGACATTACTAATCAGCCCTTATTTGCAGTTGCCATTGACCCCTCTGAGTCTGTTTTGAGACCATTTATTTTGATAGAACTATTGTTGAGAACAGTGTGTAAAATAGTACTCCTGTAAGTATCATCTACAAAATATTACCTGTGCTTCATGTAAGGAAGATTTCATTTAAAGATGTCCAAAATGTGCGACTTTACTTACAAAGCTATGCTGTAGTACAGGTAGTTCTCAACTTATGACCACAATTGAGCCCAAAGTTTCTATTGTTAGCAAGACTGTTGTTAAGAGAGTCTTGCCCCATTTTATGACCTTTTTTGCGAATTGTTAATCAGATCCCTGCAATTGTTAGTTGAATCATGTCATTAAGTGCATCCAACTTTCCCTATTGACCTTGACAGTACAACTATCATAAACACATGCCAGTTGTGTAACACTTGAATTTTGATCATGTAACTATGGGGATATTCAATGTCATAAGTGTGGAAAAAAATCATAAGTCACTTTTTTCAATGCTGTTATAACTTCAAATGGTGACTAAATGAGTGGTTGTAATCAAGGACCATCTGTACTAGAAACTCACAATTTGTTTTTAGGTAATCCTTTTCTATTTTGGTTTCTGTAACACCCACAGATACAGGATGTCCTCAACATTCGACCATAATGGAGCTTATCCATTATGTGGTATATTGTGACAGTCATAAAATGGGTTGGTCATGTGATTGACCTGATTTGACCTCTTTTTACCAACAAGCATTAAGTAACTGCTGGAGTTGTTAAGCGAACACTGTGGTTGCTAAAGCAAGCCAGTGGTTTGCTATGGGTGTGATTTTACCGAAAACTGGAAATAAGTCCTAGTTTTCAAGAAAACCTTTGTAAAATCTGACTGCAGAATGTAGAAAATGCAGCCATGTTGCCAAGCACTTGAAGATTGGCCATGTTCTAAGTTGAATTATATGCAATGTAATATTATTATGAAAGTGTAGATAATATGTTTAACTTTTGTTCTTAATTTTTTTCTGGAATTCTTTACATTATTTGCTTATACACTGATGATGTTGGTTTCCATTGGTATCTGATATTATGAAACCTTTCATATTACTTAATGTAACTGATATTTCCATAATAATATCAGTAGTCCTCAACTTACAACCATCTTCAACTTATCAGCATAATTGAATCCAAACTTCTGTTGCTAAGTGAGACGTTTGTTAAAGGAGTTTTACTCCATTTTATGAACTTTCTTGTTACAGTTGTTGAATGAATCATTGCAGTTGCTAAATTTGTAACATAATTGTTAAGTGAATCTGGCTTCCCCATTGATTTTGCTTGTCAGAAGCCATAAAAGACAATCACGTGACCCTGGGTTATTGCAACTGTCATAAATAAGAACCAGTTGTCAAGTAATTTAGATCACATGACCATGGGGATGCTGCAATTGTCGTAAGTGTGAAAAACAGTTATCAGTCACTTTTTTCAGTGCTGTTGTAACTTCAAGCAGTCATTAAATGAACTGTTGTAAGTCGAGAACTGCCTGTAATTGCTCTATTTTACAAAATAAGATACGGATAGTATGAGCTAAGCTGTGGGATTGTAACTACAGAGAGCAGATGGAGATAAATAAAAGAGTAAAACAAGGAGAAGCTTGCCTTTTACTTTCATCACAGAAATTGACATACTTTCACTTTCTCACCTTGGCAGACAGAAGAAAAGCTGCTAAATTAGAAGGACACAGAGAATCACTAGAACAATTTGCAGGCAAGATTATTTCACCAGGGATGTTGCAGAAAATGTTTGAGGAATTCATTGAAAAAGAATTGTCACTCTTGGGGAGAATCTTAGATAATCTTAGATAATCTTAGAATCTTTTGCTATGAATGGATTTATTTCAAAGATCGCCTGTTTAAATGTACCGTTTAAACAATGTACCATTTAAACAATGTACCATTTAAACAATGGCATAAATATATCTAAATTTTATATTAGAGAAAAAAGTTAAAGTTAAATATAAAGTGTTGCAAGATGCAAAAGAAAGAAAACTGGATTTATTAGATTTGAAATTGTATTTAATTGCTTGTTGTTTGATAGGGATGAAAGAATGAATATTGCTGAAAAATGAGACTTTTACAGTTAGGTGACAACCTCATGTTTTGATGACATGTACCTTAATGGTATGATAAAGTTAAAATTAATGTAAACTTTAAAAATCTTATTAGATATGTGATATTGGGAATATGGAATAGATATAAACTCAGTTGGTGCCCAAAAACACATTTATGGATAACCAGCTCAGGAATGATATAGAAGAGAACTGGCAGACCTACCTGGAAATTTAGTTGATGTACTGGGACGTACTGGAAAACCATCAAAGGGAATTTAAAATGAAATCAATAGAGCAATTAATAGCAAAAGGATATAGTTGTCAGTGGTTTTTCTATTTATAGCTCTCAAAAAGATTTAAAATGGATAAAAATAACATGATATAGAGGAAAATAAGACTGAATTTGAAATACAATTGTGTACTGATGATGAACATCTAACTGCTAAAATGTATAAGCTTTGTTGTCATTTGAAACACAGGAAGAATAAGTTAAAATGTATGATAAAGTAGACTAAGAATTATGATTATAATATGCAGATGGATCAGTGGAAAAATACATGGCTAAAAGGATTGAAATTGATATTGTGTTGTGATCCCAGAAATAAATTTTATAAAAAGATGTATTGTTGGTACATGATGCCAAAGAATGTATAAAGATTGTGTAAAGCACTCCAAATGTATGTTGGAAATATGAACAATAGGAAGGAACATTTTATAATGCTTGGTGGACATATAAAAAGGTAAACAATTTGATTCAAATGCATATTTTGATACAGAGAATTTTAAAGATCAATGGTTAATTGAAGACAGAACTTTTCCTTTTAGGACTAATGGATAAACAGTTAGAAAAAATACAATATTATTTCAATATATGACTACTATGGAGAGATTATTATATAAATAAAGATGGAAAGATTCAACACTACTTATTATGGAGGAAGGGTTGATGAAGTTAACAGATTTTGTTGAAATGGATAAATTGGTTTCTTTGATTACAGAAAAGTTACTATCTATATTTGTTGGTGATTGGAAACCTCTTATAGAATTTGTGTGTAAATATAAAGTATGATATATAGACAGGATAGATTATAGAAAGAAAAGTAATATGATAGAACTTTAGAGTGAGGTTAAAATATATTAATAACTGCTGTGAAGAATATTGGAAGCCACTTCTTTGTTCTTTTTCTTTTCTATTTTTCCTTACCTTTTTCTTCTTTTCTTTTGTCCTTCTTTTGCATTTGCTTTTTTTCTTTCTTACTAATAGTTTGCATTACTTTTTAATTTTTTCTTTAAAGATATCAATAAAAATTACACATACACAAACACACACACACACACACACGAGCATGAACATCATCCCAGCAGCCTAGCTAAAGCAAGCAGGCACATGCATGGAGCAGCAGCAACATAGGAAGATGAGCAACATAGGAAGATGCTGGCAGAAGATGATCATGTGACAGTGGCAAAGGCATCAGTTCATACTGTCTAGTAAATCATTCCTGTATTTTTATCAAGAAAATAACGTGTAGAAAATTTAAAACGATTGACAATATAGTCCAGATGATGGCCCCATCGAGATTCCTCTTTCCAGACAGGTACAGGATTGTTGTCTTTAGTCATTTCTAGTTGCTCCTGTTTAAATGTGGGGAACTCACTGCTAAAGAGCCAGCTTTGATTTGTCAGTAGGAGATCGCCCCACTGCTCAGCCACCAAATTTGGAGGACGTCAGTGTTAGGCATTTATTTATTTTTCTTTCTTTTTGTGTGTGTGTAGGCTGTGATGGAATGTTTCAGCAACATACCTTTTCCTTATATTTTAATGGTTTGGCAGATGATATTTATATGTGCTTTTTCTGAATAGTGCATTGTTTTTGAAATTATATTCTGATGTTTTTTATATTGGAATATATGTAACTTGAAATTAAGAATTTACATTGCATTCTTAGCTTGTGTTCGCAGAGGAGCTGAACTTCAAAAAATGCTATCCGGCATGAGTAAGAATGAGAAGTTCAGCTAAGGCTGGAGAGGGAAAGCAAGTGAGAACACTTTAATTTAAGAATGTGGTTGATTTTTAGCTGTTTTTGCTTTGCACTTTGTGAATTGAAAATTTAGGAAGACTTCTAAAAGCAAATCAGTAAGTACTCAGAAGTACTGACTCATAGGTATTAGTGAAGATGAAATGAGCTAAGCTTCATCAGCGTTTTCTATCACTTAAGGAAAATAAGTATTTTTGTAACCTTATGTCCAGCTACAGTTGAGATAGGCAAATCCTGGGTTTTGGACTACCCTAAAAATGCAAACAATGTATCAACTCAATATTCAATGTTTCATGCCAACTGCATTGTGACTGTTCATTTGCAACATGAACACCTTATTGATAAACAGTGCTTGATTACTATTTCTTAGTTATTACTGCTATTGAAGATAGCTAAACATATTTGAAATGGCTCTGACGATGCTTTCTTTAGAATTGCATGAAAATTAATATTGGGGTTGATTCATAAAAGTGTACTGCAGCTGGTTTTGGAAAGAAAACAGCTTTCATATTTGCAAACAATGCATGCACAGTGTGATCTCTGGCAGGAGGAGCCAAGATGGAGTGATTGAGTTCATATATAAGAATATTTTGTTTATGGTTACTCCCAAATTTAGTTTTTAATACAAGTAGTCCTTGAATTACAACCACAATTGGACCCAGCATTTATGTTTCTAAATGAAAAATTTGTTGAGTGAGTTTTGCCCCATTTGATAACTTTTCTTGCCATATTTGTTAAGCGAATCACTGCAGTTCTTAAATTAGTAACACGGTTATTAAGTGAATCTGGCTTCCCCATTGACTTTGCTTGCCAGAAGTTCTCAAAATATGATCACATGACTCCAGGACACTGTAACCATCATAAATATGAACTAGTTGTCAATCATGAGAATGTAAATCATGTGATGCTGCAACATGATAAAAGTGAAAAATGATCTTAAGTCATTTTTTTCAGTGCCATTGTAACCTCAAATGGTCACTAAATGGACTGTTGTAAGTCAAGGACTACCTGTATTATTTTTATTGCTTCAAATCTATAAACAGAATGAAAGAAGAAGCCCAAATAAAAAATATTAAAAGGAAATAAAAAAGCAAGAACACATGTTAGTAACAAATCCAAAACAATATTGGCCATAAGAGTAAAATTTAATAGACTTTCTACTACTTTGATAAATATTATGTAGGCATTAAAGTGAATGCATGTTTTCCATCCAGGGTTTTAAATCATAGCATTAGAATCTCCATTGGAGTAAAATACTCTTCTTAAAAGCAGCTGCCACATGATTAATTGGCAGGTTCCAAATTATTGAAATATAATTTAACATCGCATTGATGTGTTCATTAGGATAATGATTCAACATTTATTTAAGTTATTAGCTCATTGATTTCTTAAAATCAATTTTATTGCATTGATTTCCTATTATTAGTCATTTAAAGTTGCCTGAAATATCTCCATCTCAATCTTGGTACAGCTTTTCAGTTGTATAAAACATTTAACTGTAGATTTAGGAAAAACTTTCTTTACAAATAAACATTTAGGTGTTTCAGATATTGCCAATATAATAGGATGAAATTGTAACATCAAAAGATGTTGTAATTGAATATAATGCCATATGACAGTGTAAAGTAAACCAAATTAAATTTTTAGCCTTTTTTTTTAGCCTCATACTCAAATGCAGCCACTGTAAAGTAGGAATAGTGGCCATATTGGGATTTTTATGTTTTATTTTTAAATTTTTACTTCTAACTCTATCCTAATTTAACACTTTGATACTGCTATCTGATCTATATGCCAGTTGGCTTTATAATAAATGATCAAGTTCACACTTCTGTGGTTTGAATAGCTGGTATTAGAGAAATGTCACATATTTATATTAATAATGGAGATGTTATTTTTTCCTGTTCAGTACTTAGATGTAGCACATAAATGGTGCTACATTCTGCAAAACTGAGCTAGTAAGTATCTCAGCATAATTTACTAGGGTTTTTCTCTTTCTGGATTTACAGAGATATGAAAAATGCTGTAATTGGAAACAACAAACAAAAAGCCAACTTGATTGTTTTGGGAGCAGTTCCAAGGTATGTCCTCTGCTACTCTCATTTTCACTGATTCACAGTCTCATTAAGCCATTAAGGACACTTAATTTCTTGACTGTCACTGATACTCTATATTTTTATATAGCTGAGATTAGTAAATCGATTGTGTATATGGATACATCTGTGCTGAAAAAATTGGAAAGAATGTCTGTTTCAAAGCTATGAAAATAGTTCAAAAGTCACTGGTTAATAAAACTTCTAAAATAAAATACCTAAACCTGTTTCTTCCCTATCTTACTTGCATGAAGATTTCATATAAGAATTTTGGCGGAAAACACTTTTAATTAAAAAAAAAGAAGCAATTTACTCTTCCTTTTTAAATTGTGAGGTTAACTTCCAGGTCACCTAATTACTAATCATCTATAGCAAATTTCTAAATTTGTTTAGTGTCTAACATCCTGTTATCAAGTTTCTCATAGTAAAAATAAAATATCAAGTTGTTTCATGTAAATTTGTGGATCTATATCATTTTTTACATATTCCTAGGATCTTTTGCCATAAAGTTGTCTGAAAATCAATAATCTTGTAATCGTTAACAAGACTCCTATTATTCAACACCATTCTTTTTTTTATTTCATTTATATCTTGCATCTCCATAAGTAAAATCACTTCCAATTCCATTTTTATAATGCTTTCATCCTATTGTTGTTTTTTATTTTATTTTTTTTGATGGAAGAAGCCTTTAGTTCCTTTTGATAAAACAATGGGCTTCTGAATTAATTGTTGATCTACTGTAAAGCACTCCAAAATCAACCAGTAGAACTTAACCCCCCTCCTAAAGTCAACCCCCAGCCTAAAGTTATCCAGCTGGATTTCATATGTAAGGTGGAACTAGAACTCACATTTCTCTGGTTTCTACTCTGGTGCTTTAGCCACTAGATGACACTGTATCTCACTATAAACTACTAACATAAGGCTATTGACTATTTCCATCACAGGTAGCCTTTTATTTTGACCACTAATTTAGTGACCATTCACTGTTATAATGGCACTAAAGGGACTTAAGAAAGGTTCTGGAAGTTCCTGTAGTCACAGTTTCCCTGCAGTTACATGACCAGCTTTTATATCTTCCCAGTCATCTTCCCACAAACAAAGTCAATGGGAAGTAGACAGGAGGTTTACAAGTTGTCCCACTGCTCTTTTGCCCACTCAAAACACCCCCAGAGCCACCTATACTTCATAGTACCAACCCAGCTACCTGCACTCCTTTGTGGCACCTGCCCATGGAACTGCAGCAGCTTCCCCCCTCAATTCTCATACACAGCATTTATTTGCTGGCTTACTTGCCTAGGACTCAAATCTCTTCTCATTTTTATGTCTCATTAGGTTGTCGCTTAAAGACTTGTGTGGTCCTGGGGTTGTTGGGATTGCCATCACTAAGCATGATGTAATGTTTTATGGCCACATTTCTTGACAGTGGAAATTCTGATCCCAATTGCTGTCCAACTTGAATACCACCTGTACAATGTGGGTTGTACCAATATGTTTTTTGCTTTTGCTAATGTCAGCGTTAATAGTTATGACTAAAGTATATAATAGACCTGGTTTACTCATAATGTGCTCTTTAACCTCTAGGCAAAACAACACTATTTTGAGATTTAGGTTACCTTATTGTCCAGATAATCCACAGACCAGATGCAGCTATCCAGTACTTACTTTGTTCATGGCACAGAAATGCAATTTTATTCTGATTTTGGAGAAGAAATAATATAATTATTTGAGCCTTAAAATAGGGTTTACCTTAAATAGGGTTGACTTTAAACTTACATCAACTACATCATAAACTCTGAAAACTTTTTTTAAATGGTCTACTTTGCATTTGTTTAAAATCTGATGTGTCAGATTTTAATATTTTTATAAGCAGAGTAATGATATGGCTGTGTACCTGAATGCTTTATTCTTTCACTTAGTAATTCCTAGATATGATGACCATTACATTTGTGCAGTGTCTTCAGGCCAGGGCCCCCTTGATTCTTGATTGATTAGAAAGGTGAAGGATAAATCTAAATAAATAAAGCCTCCTGTGAACCAAATTAGTATAACTATTTAGTGTGATACAAATGTAGTAATACTTCCACGCATTTAAAAAATAGATGGGAATTAGAATTATAAAAGCAAAAGATTTCAAGCAAACAGGAGGCATATGCCTACTAATTCAATGATATTAAGCAAACAAAATATTAATCTGCACTGAGAAATGGTAAAATTAATTCTTATTCTTAATATACACATTCTAGAGTCCTTCAGTTTCTTGGTCTGGAGAGATTCAGGTTCTTTTTTCTGTTAGATCATAGAACTCATTGAATGACTTTAGGTTAGTGAAAGTAAAATTAAGGCAGACTATATACTACATACTTTGACTCATTCCAACTCAAAACAGGATATAAACGCATGTAATGTAAAAAATCAGTACAGTCACCAGTAGTATATGTATATGTCAAGTTAATTTAGCATGAAGATAACAATGGACAAAAATGGTTTTAGTTACTGAAAATGAAATTGCATATAGAGGCAAAAGCTACTTATTGCAAACTAGAATATCGAATCTCCCCTTATACTTGAAAATAAAAATAAAAGCAATAATGCTGGAGTTCAAGCTGAGCAACAGTTTGTTACGAAAGTATAGTACAAGGAATTGTTTTTGACTCAAGACAGTAGGTATATAGAAATGTAACTTGTATATACCCAAGATTATGTTGCTGATAAAGTTATCAAGTATCTTAGTAAAACTTCATTAATGGGCAACTGTCCTTTTGATAAACAATATAGGAAGAAGTTAATGATTATTTTTCCCAAAAGGTGCTTTATTATTATTTACTAAAGTAAACTTGTATTATACTGTCATGAAAAGATATTGAGATCACATAAATAAATAAATCAACTTTTTAAATTTATTTATATTATGAATGATGATGATGAAGAATCAGTTGTAGATAAAAATGTCCTCAAAATTTAGCTATCCTTGACATTTATAAAATACCAACGCTCTTATGCTATATAACTGCAACTCTATGCATTTTTACTAAAGAGTAAAACAATCCTTGGTAATGGTTTGAGTAAAACAGTCAAACTCATAGACTTCTGCATAGACTTGAATGGAATGCACTTACTGTATATATTTTAGCAGGCTTTTATGCCACTCATACATGTCTTACAAACCTACAAAACAGTTAACAAGATTTAAAACAATAGTATAATAGCATAAATAGAAAAAACAATATCACTTCCCAAGTGCCAAGAAGCTACCATAGCTCATTCTACCGGAGAACAAAAACAATCCCTAAAATCTCTGACAACATGCTTCACTTTATCCTATATCCTTCCCTAATCCCTATATTTAATAATTGAAAAAAGAAGAAGAAAGGGTCCTGTCATTTATGCTGAAATCCACCTGCAATATTCTTCATGTCTCCTCCAATACCTTGTTCCGTGTTCACATATAACTCTTAATCTGGTATTCATTCATTCATTCATTCATTCATTCATTCATTCATTCATTCATTCATTCATTCATTCATTGTTTCAATTTGTATAGCACCTATCTCAAATACGTACTCCTGGGCAGGCACAGTAGTTAAAACTATATAAAAACATAATACAAATATATATATAAAAATGAAGCAAAAAAGTATTCAATAGCACAGTCAGTAGCCAAGGTATAACAAGAATTGTCAATGGCAATCAACATAACCATTGTAGAGATTTAACCACACATCCCAATCCCCAAGCCCAGTGGCAAGTCTTTAAGGCCTTACAAGAAGTCAGAAGAGTCAGGGTGAATCTAATTTTGGAAAAAGATCTACTTTTGTAGGGGGTACCAAAAGAAATAAGCTGAGCCAATTGCCAATTACAATAACCCAAAATTGAAATATCCAACTTTTCCCAACATCATCAGTAATGTGTTTCCTTCCTATTGTTGAAGAAAAACAATAAAGGGCAGAAGAAAATCTCTGCTTGATGTTATGAGAAAATGGAAAGCTTAGCTGCTTTTTCTCCTCTCTAGCAAATTTCCACATTTGGTGAAGAGAAGAAAAATTTAGCCACTATAACTGGAGAAGAGAGGGCAGGTTTGTGAGATGACAAGGAGCACAAAGCAGGTGTTACTGCTAGGAATATCTACTTCAAGAAGTTTGATATTTCTCCCTAAGCATTAAGGCACACATACAACTTGGTTTGCTGGGGAGGCTTCAATTGAAATGGCCATGGAGGCAGAGAGCCTTGCAGCTGGATGGGAAAGGAGCACGGTATTTGAAATTCTGCATGCTGTCAAATTTCTTCAGTCTTCCTTGCTATCTGAATCTCAATATTTTCATAGAAAATTGCATTTTCCACTGGAAAATACCACTTTTCTTTTATGTAACTAACATTGATCCAGCCTAGCTTGTACCAAGATGGAGAGTGTTGTAAGGAATGTCCTTAATGAATTCTATAGATGAATCCTGAGCTGTGCTAGCTTGACTATGTTCACATTACAAGAAGCTAGATTCTTCAAGTGTGCTGTGAGGTTATGTTGTGAATATAACCTATAGAGTTGCGTTAATTTGCCTTACCTCATTTATTAGGCGCAAATGATGTTTGTCAATAGTAGTTGCTAGAGCAAAACACTTAACATGCTAATTATATTTTGTTTAAAAACTTCCCAAATTGTAACTCAGGAACTGAGAAGTAGTATTTAAAGGAAACAGAAGTCATGACCAAACACTTACTATCTAACATCTGTTCATATAATGGTTTATAGCATGTACAATTCCCAAAAGGATGGCTAAAGTTTGTTTTTCCCCTTCAACTGTACACAATCCTTTCCTTCATTTTGCTAGAAACATAATTGCAGGTTTTGCATAGTTTGGCATCTTTTATCCAGTATGAAATTGTGAGTGAGGGCATGTCCCCGAGGAGCTTTACAAAATGGTCTAAAAAATGTTAATACCTGATTATCATTAAAAGCTATGCCTCTTTCTCAGATACTCAAAAAATCTAGAAAA